TTGGTCCATGGAGGCAGTTTGTATTGTTTCAGAGTTGCTATATATTTTTGACTTTCCCAATGTGTGTACAATTGAACAGCTAGGGTTTGTATGTGTGTATGTATATTTTTATATTATAGATGTATTTATTTTTCCACAGAAAAGGATGTTGCTTTTATAAAAATTGTATTGCGGTTAAATTATGTGACCAGTGTAAACAAAAGTATTTTGAATCTTATGTTTGATACACTTACACAGTAGCCTCATCATTCACTACCATTCTTGTGATCCTGAAAACAATATTGTAGGCTTTTCAGAAATTCTCCAGCATGTTAATAAGCCTCTAAAATGAACTGCAGATTTTCATCACGTCAGTTGCTTAGTTATGACCATTTTTAACCCACAAAGTTACTCCATTACTGCTCTTTATGTGCTGCTTTGTATCACGCCCTGTTAAAAGTGGATAGTATAGCAAGAAGTTTGTATCCATAGTGCGACGATCACGGCGGCAGACCACAGCCCTTCTCACCAAACACGTGACCGAAGGACTAGCCAATCTAAAACCACGCTGTCACGTGCGCAACAATGCCACACCCAGCTGCACCCTGCACACAGATTTTCCAGCTAATGGACCACAGTATGTGTACCGGTAGCCTGAAAGCAATTGTTACTGGGTCAGGTTAATTACGCAATTAACCCTCCACACTGCCACCACCTCCTTTTTGTACAGAGAAAGGGGAAACTCGGCAATATTAGCAATAACACTATGATGTTTGAATAATTGTCTGTATACCACTGTCACCGCAGGCAGAGATATACCGAAGTTTAAAAACACACACACAGTAGCGCTCTTTAGAGGCAGGAATTCGTAGTTTGCATTAAAGGCTTTAGAAACAGTTCAAACACTTTCAGAAAGTAATATTTATTACTAAAAGGTTAAAAGGATGCAATAAAAATATTTACAGAAAAAGATGTAGCCAATATATATATATATATATATATATATATATATATATATATATATATATATATATATATATATATATATATATATACACATATATATATATACATACATACACATACATACATACATACACAGACAACAATAGCACAGCAAAGAGATAACGGAGAAGTTAGAGGGTTAAAGTACTTGACGTCAACCTTGGGTTAAGCAGATTAGGTTTCAGACCAAAGGATTTAATCTCCCACTGTCAGTTTCGATGTTAAAACAGGAGATTCTTCAACTCTCACACACGGCTTAACTCAGCCTAGCTTAGCTTTTCTAGTAACCCCACAGGGTGTCTCCCTGGAGCAGTAAACCAATCGCCTCATTTGGGGAGGGAGTTGGTAGGTGGAGACCCAAGCTCTGAGCAAAAACTCTCATAGCTTATATTATGGTTCATAATTTACCCTGAATACATAGAACATCTTATCCAGGAGTAGATTACGCAAAATCGCCAGCTGAACAGTTAGATATGAAATATTTGCTTGAATGGTTCAGGAGATATAATTTTCTGCTCTCTGGTATATGTCAGATAGGGGGTGTAATATATCAGGGAATTTGTATTAACGTCAGCCGTCCGAATATGTGCTCCATGTTTATGTAAGTCTTCCATTTTCCCCTATGATTACATATCTTGGATTATGGATGTTGAATGTGGTGTCTAGTTTAGGACTTATCTGGAATGTCTTTGAACTCAGTGAGGGACTCGGTTTACGCTTTTATGATCCCTTTCCAAGCAAGAGTTTCTTAGACAGAGGGGCACCGAGCTAGTGAGGTTTTATAGCCAGGACACCCTCCCACTGAATTCTAACTTCAGCTTGTTCAATTACAGTGGTTGTACACCCTGAGGTTAGGTTTACACGTATGCAGGTTGCGTTTGAGCCATTTCTGCATTGCGTTTTGTGGTTTTTGCACCTGGGTTTTTAAACACTTTTTTGTCAAATTTTTATTTTATTTTTCTTGTTGCTAGGGAGATTTGAAAATGCAAAACGCATTAATAAAAAACACAGCAAAAAAAACGCACTACATGCTTTTCTGCGTTTCCATTGAAATCTAAAGAACCAAAAACGCAACTTTTTGCATTCAAAAAAGTCCTTGACCCTTTCCAACAATGTGGAGATGTGAACATGTCCCATAGGAACTGCAAAACGCTTAGGTGTGAACCTAGAGTTACATATACTCAGTGAAGCAGCTGGCCTCAGGTGATACACACACACACACACACACACACACACACACAGACATAAAACAATTCCTTCTGCATAAATTGTACCTGTTTATCTGAAGTATTCTCTACATCCATTCAAAATGCTGAATTTATAAAGCTTGTCTAAGATTTCAGAAAAAAGGGAGTTGAGAGCTGAAATTACACACTGCAGAACTCAGTGAGGAGAGTTCTGTGAGCTTATTGGAGGGAAGGGACCACCCTCCTCACCCCCCACCACACAGCTCACAGGAACAGAGCTGAACTGTCAATCTGCTGGAGGTCCCTCCTTTGTCATCATTTTTTCTCTTGGTCTCAGGAAAACTTGTCAGAAGTGACTCATGCTGATAGCAGAGGCTACAATCACTTTAAGCTTTGACAATTAAATCTGGAATAGGATTGGTTTCTATTAGGGATGTACCGATACTGGTTTTTCATTGGCGAGTACCAATACCAGATGACAAATCAGATGCCGTTTAGCCAGAAAGGTCATCGCTGCAAGGAGAGGAAAGAAAGCAGTAGGGATTTCAAATCCCCGCCGCTTTCTCTCCTTCCCTACCACTAACACTCTGCATGGGATGCCATCAGGGAGGTTTCCTGCACCGCTCCTGTGTGAGCGTGGGCTATGACAAGCCTGGGTTTACACAGGAGCAGTGGGGACACAGGTATCACATTCCCGTTCAAATCGCATGCCAATCTTTGCTGTGCAATTTGCATCCATTAACGCAAATCGCACCGCAAAATAATGGTTAAGTTATCGGTAATATTTTCAAGAATACTAGTATTCGTAAAAAATACTCAGTATCGGCATCCCCAGTTTCTATGCAGTGCTGTACCAGATTTTGCACTCTCCAGTTTTAATAAACCTCCCTCAATGGATCTTTTAAAATGTATTATGAAAATAAGCAAGCTTCCAAACTAAACTTAAGTAATAAACGTCCTGTTGAACTTTGAGAACAGTGCTTATATCAATCAGGATTCCACAAGTACACTTTTTTTTTTTTTGACTGTTGAAGAGCAGAAATTCTTAGAATGGTTTAGAAGGTCAACAATGCATAATTCCTTTAACCACTAGCCTACAGGGCACTTATACCCCTTCCTGCCCAGGCCAATTTCCAGCTTTCAGCACTGTCGCACTTTGAGTGACAATTGCGCGGTCATGCAACATTGTACCCATATGAAATTTTTATCATTTTTTTGTGACAAATAGAGCTTTATTTTGGTGCATTTAATCATCTCGGGGTTTTTTTAGTTTTTCTTAAACAAACCAAAAACTACTGAAAATTTTGAAAAAAATTTTTTTTTTCTTAGTTTTTGTTATAAAAAATGTAAATAAGTGATTTTTCTCTTTCACTGATGTGCGCTAATGAAGCTGCACTGATGAGCACTGATAGGCTGCACTGATGGACACCGATAGGTGGCATTGATGGGCACTGATAAGGAGGCACTGGTAGGTGGCACTGATGGGCATTGACAGGCATCACTGCTGGGCACTGAAAGGCAGCACTGATAAATGCATAAATGGCACTGATATATGTCACTGACTGGCATTAATAGACAGACACTGATAGGCAGCACTGACAGACACTGATGCAGCATGAGGCAGCACTGAAAGCAGCTCAGATGGGCACTGATATGTGGCATTGATGTGCACTGGTAGGCACTGATATGTGGCACTGATGGGCACTGGCACGAGGCACTGATGAGCACTGACATAAGGCATTGATGGACACGGACTGGTGGCACTGCTGGGGCTACACTGATCATCAGGGCACACTGATCATCAGTGCCTGATGATCAGTGTACATGTCCCCTCCACGGAAAGCCAATTACCGGCTCTCCTCTCCTCTCAAGCTGTCATCTTCGGCTCTTTCCGTGATCGGTGATCCGCTGTGTCCGAGGGACAGCGCACCGCCGACGCCGCGTGTTCCCTGAGCCGCGCATGCGCAGTGAGAATGGGAGGACGTCACATGGCGGGAGGAGGTGGCGGGCGGTGGTTAAATAACATGCTTGGGGATGCTTTTAACCTGCCAGTGAAATGGCACTATCTTAGATTGTAAGCTCCAAGGAGCAGGGCCCTCCTAACCCTCTTGTATTGAACTGTATTGTTGCTGTATGGTCTCCCGTTATATTGTAAAGCGCTGAGCAAACTGTTGGCGCTATATAAATCCTGTATAATAATAATAATGGAAAAAGTAAAAAAAAAAAAAAAAAAAGACACATGGGATCCTCCCAAATATTCTAGAACCCCCCAATTTCCTTAGAGGTCATATGTAGTGGCATAACGGATAGGAAACAGTTAAATATAGTAGCATAGCAGTAAAGCAGCCAAAGTTAATTCTGAACTTGTGACTGGACCGAACCTTGAGCTCATCCTTAGCTAGCAAAGACATGCAAACAGCATTCACACATCTTTCTTTATATACATAGCACAAAAACACTGCAGGTTTTACCCATCTCAATCCTCAGCACATTTTTTTTTTTCAAACTTTCAGATACAACATTGAAGGCATGTTCTGTGATAAATATTGTTTGACTTTCAAGCTAAACAATTTCTATTTTTTAAATCCCTATGCTGTGGATCTCCTTCTACGAGTCTCTGTCATGAGTACGATGTTACAATAGCAACTGCTCATTATGACTATCTTTCAGAATCTGGAAGTCTTTGCTGCACCTTACACCTGTATTACTTTGCAAATGTATACATAGAAAAGGTAAAATTAGAAGGCCATAATTAAAAACTGTAAAAGGTAGGTATTTGGCAAAAATAAATCTAAAAGATTTTAAAATAGCAAAGTCATTTAGACTTACTGGTAATCTTTGTGAAGTTGGCTTTATACGAGTCAAACATATCAGTGATGCCAAGGTTTTTCAGAGGTTCTTTTAGATTAGCGTCAGCCTCCACTGTGAACCTATTGAAAAGTATTCATCACAAGGAAAAAAATTAAACATTTTTTGGTACTTGCAGGTAAAAACGTAAAAAAAAAAAAAAAAAAAAGTGTAAATAAAATTAGATGGTGGTAAGTTTGTGTATGCACATTACAATTGCCAAATTAAAAACACAATATTTTATTTTGACTACACAAGCAAGCTTGTACCATTGATACTGAAAATGAACCTGTGGACAAACTATGGACAGTAACCATTGCCCAAGGCAATTCTGAAACTTCTGCATACATGTAAAAATCAGCATTTTTTTTTGTTTACTAGAAAATAACTCACAGCCCCCAAACATTTTTTTTCTGAAAGCAACAACCCTGGGGAATATAATAGTGGTGGTTGCAATTTTTTTATGTCCCACATAATTTGCGCAGTCAAAAGTGCTGACTATTCCTGCCCTTTCCACCCCACTGCTCCATTCATAGAAGCTGTGCTATCAGCTCCCACATTGAAAAGCACTCTATGAATGGATGGCAAGCGGATGATTGAAGGTCCACTGCCTCCATTCATAAAGTGCTTTTCATTGCCTGGGAAAAGCAGAGGTTCAGAAGCATGAGAATGACATTACAAGGGGGCAGAAAAGCACAGTAAGAAACAATTTAATGAAGAATAGACTACAGAGCTTGTAAGCAGGTGTTTGCAGGGTACCATTGTATGCATATCTGTTGTATTCATTGCACTGTGTAGTTATACAGACAGTCCCAGGATGGGAAGGGGTTAACCGTGTCTAGACTCTTTCCTGGAATGAGTCCTGCCCCCTGCTTGTAAGCCACATAAATATCAGGGGAGGGCTCCGAGCAAGATCCCTCTTTTCCACATGGGATTTACAGAGGAGGATCTGCTGCAACATGTTCTACTGGAGCTCATACCTCCCCACTGCTGGGATTCTCCCTGGACTACGAACCTACCATTACAGGATTCTTGCTAAAAGGATTTTGCTTGTCTGGAAGGTATGAACCTGGCAGCCTGCATTAGTTATTTTGTGTGGGACATTGTTTCAGGTGTGCTGTGCTCTTGAACGGTGCCACTGAATGCTCAGTAAAGATGAATTAAATATTATACATAAAACCTCCACAAATTTCATATTCCTGATATGTGCCTGCTGTACCATGCACTTGTATGAAAAAGTATCCTGTTCTCTTTGTATTGCTTCCTTTGTATGAAATCTCTGGTGTTTCTGCCAGTCCCTCTGCTTTCCAAATAAAAACAGACCACAGTAAGCAGGAAAACACAGCGTGGTCACTTCTCTAGTTGTGCTGGGAACTCCGTGTGCTCTCCTCCAATGATCAAACTTGTCCTGACTCCCCCTTCCCCACCCCACACAGCGATGCACAAGGAAGATCAGTGTATGGCTACTTCTCCTCTCCCAGCTCTGTTCTCAGCTGCATAAGGAGCTTAGAGGGAATGTGATCACCTATTGGTTTTCAAAAAACACAAAATTTGCTTTTCATTTTAAATGGAATGGGTTGTTTTACAAGGTGAGGCGTACAAACACTTTAATGGTTTCAAGCCTGAAGTTACTTTAAAAAGGGGTATGTGATGGTTCATGGCGTACAAAATAACTATGGTCATTAAAGCACAAGTGGGGGTATAAAGCAAGTAAGACCACTGCACAAAGGGTTAACTCAGCAAGACAAGTGGAAGAGGAATGCAGTTACTATGGGTAATCAAGTAACGTGTCAACGTACAGCAGCCTGTCATGGTATGTCATGGTATTCTGGTAGCGAGGGGGAAGGTGATCTGGCTCCCTCCCCAGCGGTTGATTTCCCAGAGTAACCAAGACCAAACCTGCTTTAGGGAGATCCTCAACCTAGGGCATGGTACAAGAGAGCTGTAGGAGTTTAAGTGAAAGTATTCCAGCACTGGGAGTGAGGTGGCAGAGGTATGCTGGACAGGTGGAGAGGGTAGGGGCTCAGCAGTGTCCCTCCTACCGTAAATGCAATGTTACAGAAAGGTGTGTAGAGACCAGGGACAGAGACAGAAGGCTTTACAGAGGAACTCTACAGGTCACATCAGTACACACAGTGCATGGCTCATCTCTAAACCGGGGAACTGCCACGTTTGACTTTCACAGGAGCATACTCCCGACCTGGTCCCAAGCATTGCTGAGTGGGTGCACAGTGAAAGGTGCCCCCACGTGCAGGGTGAGTGACCCTGCCCACAGGTTACTAAGTAGTGGATGGATGTGTATGGATCATTTTTGGGGAAGGAGGATTGTGTTTAGTGTCACTCTAAGCCATCTAGTCTTAAAGTGGTCTTTAAGTAAATTTAAAAAAATTTACTGACAGACTGGGTTTTTAATATGATAGAAGAGACCTTATTGGTCTTTTCTGCCAAAAATGCTTCCCTCTGTCCAATCTGTGCTACAAAGAATCCCATGAACACACGCTGGAGTGATGTTCTCTCAGCACGGCAAACAACCATACGGTCCCTGGACAGATGACTAGGCAAAAATTGAAGCACTCGGGACCATGATACCACTGAGAGCAGCGCTAGAGGGCAATGTTTGACAATTAAGTCTGTAATATTGTGCTAATTTGCCACGCATACTAATTCATTATGGCATAACCACCCGGGGGCCTGTTTTAAAAAAAGGAGTTTAATACTGCTTAAAACTGGTTATACACTTAAAGTGGAACTTTACCTATAGCAGCTTGATAAAAAAAAATAATGTTCTTTAGCTAGAAGCATACATTCCACATTAATATTCTACATTAATATTTATGCCAAAAAAATTAGTGTGTGCTGTAAATTGCCTCCAGCATTGCTCCTGTTTCTTCTTGTTAGAGGCTGACATTTTGCTGAAGCCCAGAGCCTCTGAACAGCAGTAAATCATAAAGCGGAACTAAACCCATCGATATAACAATTTCAAAAGACAGTTACATTTTTGGAATGCTGGTATTGCTGACTGTCAACCAAAAACTGTTACATCATCCAAAAGACTAGTGTCACAACAGATCACATGGCAGTGCAGATCAAAAAGAAGCAGCTTCCTTGGCTGTAAAGGATAAGAGGGTTTAATTACGCTTTAAGGTGGTCAGCAGATCGGCCTCCACAAATTTGGCAGTACCTAAAAATGGAGAGCAATTGAGCATGTGCAGAGCAGGATGAGACAGTGTATTACTGGATTTTAAACAATATAGACACTTTCTAATTTCTAATCTAATCTTTCACTTCTAATTTTTATTATTACATTACTGTTTTTTACATAGCTATACCTGCAAAAAAGGGGCCAGCCTGAAGTGATCTAGCAGGACTTAATTTTCTGAGTAAAGTTCCACTTTAAGTAAACTGAGGGTGTGCAAATTCCAAAGGATTACAATATCTATAGTAAACACAACGGAGAAGCCAAACAGATGTGCACACACTTTGAGGAGTTCCAAACAGGTCCCACCCAACATAAGTAATTGGGAACATATACCCATGATTGTAACATTACAGTACCATAACATAACACAGAAGGGAAGCAACTTTCCCATTTGTGTGCATTTCCTTCCAGAACCAGCTGCAGTTTTTGCAGTGACTCCCAAGTGGAGCCTCACTGTCAAAACGGTAGTTGACTGTGAAACAAAGCACACACAGACAAGGAAGTCACTTCCCATCTGCCCACATTATCACATGTTAAACCACTCAACAGCCAACCTAATATAATCCCACCCCCTATCAGTGATGCAATCTACCCCACCATGTTTGTGTACCATGGGAGATACAGGCACACCATTCCCAGGAATGGCATCCTACAGGGACGCAAACTGACCATTGCAGCAAGAATCTGCTTCAATGTTTGTTGTGATCAGCTTGAAATACAAAGTCAGAGGAACAGGCAGGATCAGCAGAGTTGTAAAGGCAAGTATAAATAAAAATTTTGGAAAGGAAATATACAGAACTGCTCCACAGGTTCAGAAAGGGACCTATTCCAAAACAAAAGCCGCTATTCAATCTTTGATGTGAAAATGAAATAATCTAAAAAATGAACACAGCGCTACCCTACTCCCAAACAATGCATGAACTAAATGATCCCTACCATATAAAATCATACATAAATCATGTATAGTAAAGTGCAATGAGCAGACTGTGCAAAAGTATATCAAAATATGTATCATACAATAAAAATTACAGTACTAAGTGCCACAAGCAATGTGCAAACATGTGAAATCGTATAAATATTGAAAACAATCTCATAAAAATGATACAATATTTGTGAAATACTTCTACAAAAAGGATTTTTTAAAAAAGTCCTATGTGCTTACGTCCACCACAAAAAAATAGTCAATAATTCATCAAATCTTCTTGGTGTTCACCAAATTTATGCTCTTCCACCACAATAAATACTAATATTAACTCACCAGAGCCCCATGCTGGTAAGATCATAAACCAGCCAACAGTATGCGACACTCTGGGGGTAACAATCTGCAGCTTCACGATTCTCCTCTTGAAAGACCTCTCAGAAAAGATCAATCACTATTGCTCAAAAAGTCACATAGATGAGAAAAGAAGGGAGCTCCCATAGTATAAACCCATTTAAGAATCTTTTATTTCATAAAACCAAATTAATACACTCACATTTACGGGTCACCACTGACACAGGTATACGGGCACAGTCATAAAAGGCAGAGTCGCCTTTGGCTGCAAGCGCCAAGCCACGAGCACAAACCCAGCATACGCAGTGATGTCGCATCCAAGTCCCACCCTATGTGGATCCACCACTGGCGGAAGTCGAGTGATGAAATGCATAGGGCAGGGCTTGGATGTGATATCACCACGCACTCTCAGTTTGCGCTTACGGCTTGGAGCTTGTGGCCAGAGGCAACTCAGCATTTTATGACTGTGCCTGTATGCCTGTGTCCATGGCGACACATGTGAATGTATTAATTGGTTTTAAGTAATAAAAAGATCTCACGCCAGGAGTGCTCCCCTTCTTCCTCTATGTGACAATTTGATTGCACGATACATATTTTGATTTTGGCACACTATGCACATTGCACTTTGAGATTATTTATATATAATAGTGACCTCTTAGTTCATACATTGTTGGGGAGTAGTGTAGTTCTGTTCATTGTTTACATTATAAATAAATAATTTTTCAGGGTAGATTTTCTAATACCAACATGTACACACACACACCACATCTTTTTCAGTAACATTTTTAAGCTGCAATATAATACAATTTTGTTTTTTGGTTTAATATTCTTTAACTATCAGGAGAAGGTTGTGCAGGGAGAGGATCCACCGGAGTTCAAGAAAAACAACCAACCATTTGAGCCCTCCTCTTAATTTGTCAGGCGTATATAACAGGGGGTTCTTAAATGTTTTAATCCAAGGGCCCAAATGTTAAAAGTTTTAGCCAAGTTTTTTTTTTACCATAACATCATGAATGTACAGGATTCAAAACACATCATGTGGTGGGAATAATACTACGTAACTTTGGTATGTTTCTAACTAGCTACTTACTACTGTCTTACAAGAGTTTTCTGCTTCAAACTCCCTACACTTTCAAAACATTGGTTTTAGAAGCTATCTATATTACTATTTAAGAATGTGCTTTGGTTTTATGCAGTGTTTTGTTAAAATAAAAACGCTGTAAATTTAAGAAAAAAAAAATCTTCATTTTACCATTTTTTGTTTTAGTAGTAGGCATTACCAACTAGCCCTGGGTTTATCAACTCCCATCCTTGTCTTGGTAACTGCCCCCTCACCTTGCACATGCTCCAGTTCCCTGTACATGTCTGTGCTGTCAATAATAGTCAGCGTGCCATAATTTACCAATGAGCGGCTAATTGCTTGGCCACAAAGTCAAGTCTGACCCATTTCGAACATGTTCGAAAACCAAAATTTGGGTCCCAACCCTAACTAACCAAGCTTAAATCTACTCCCACCCCCCTTCTAAAAGGGTAGCACCTTCCTAGATAGGTTGCTAGGTTGTTCGGTAAATTTAGTTTTTGGCTCCTCTGTAGTCTGTGGAGCATTGTTGATTGGTTTGGGCTGTTTTGGTTTTCACAGCTTTCTAGAAAACTGTGGGTTGTCCTGGAATATACAGTTAGGTCCGTATATATGTGGACACAGGCACAATTTTAGCTTTTTTCAAGTATTTACCAAAACATATTCAAGCTATATTTATAGAATGAATGTGGGCTGAAAGTGCACACACGTTTAATTTGAGGTATGTACATCCAAATTGGAAGGGTTTAGGAATTACACTGAATCAAAAGCAGTTTCATGGCCAGGTGTGGGCTACTGCTTTGTTATTTCTTCATCAATTAAGCAGGTAAAAGGTCTGGAGTAGATTCTAAGTGTGGTATTTGCATTTGGAATCTATTGCATTGAACCTACATCATGCGTTCAAAGGAGCTGTTCATGCAAGTGAAACAGGCCATTTTAATGCAGGCCATAGATGGGTCGTTTATCGTCCAAATTTTCATCCGCACGAAAAATAGGCCGATAATCATGCAGTTAGTGGGGCCAGCCCGTCGGCCGTTTTTACGGATCTCCTCATTTATTTTTATCGGTCATGCTAGAAAATCCGCAAAAAACGGCCGTTTTTCGTGGACATGGGTGGCAGCATCGGCAACGGTGCCGACTGATTTTTCATTTATCGGCCAATCAACGGCCCATCTATGGCCTGCCTAAGGCTTCAAAAATGGAACAAATCCATCAGAGTGATAGCAGCAACATTGGGAGTGGCCAAATCAACAGTTTGGTACATTCTGAGAAAATAAGAATGGACTGGTGAGCTCAGCAACATAAAAAGACATGGATGTCCACGGAAGACAACAGTTGGGGATGATCGCAGGATCCTCTTTATGGTAAAGAAAAACCCATTCACAACATCCAGACAAGTGAATGTCACTCTCCAGGAGGTTGGAGTATCATTGTAAAAGTCATCAAACAAGAGAAGACTTCACAAGAGGAAATACAGAGGGTTCACCAAAAGGTGCAAACCGTTCATAGGCCTGGAGAATAGAAAAGCCAGATTAGGCTTTGCCAAAAAAACATTTAAAAATGCCAGACCGTTTCTGGAGAAGCATTCTTTGGACGGATGAAACTAAGATGAATCTGTTCCAGAATGACAGGAAGAAAAAAAAAAAAAAAAAAAGAAGTGTGGAGAAGGCTTGGAACAGCTCATGATCCAAAGCACACAACGTAATCTGTAAAACATGGTGGGGGCAGTGTGATGGCATGGGCATGCATGGCTTTCAGTGGCACTGGGTCATTGGTGTTTATTGATGATGTGACAGAAGGCAGAAGCAACAGGATGAATTCTGCAGTGTTTAGAGATATACGGTCAGCCCAGATTCAGCCAAATGCAGCAAAGTTGATAGCACTTCACAGTGCAGATGGATAATGATCCAAAACACAGCAAAAGCAACCCAGGAGCTTTTGAAGGAAAAGAAGTGGAAGATTCTGCAATGGCCGAGTTAATCACCTGATCTCAACCCAATTAAACATGCATTTCACTTGCTGAAGGCAAAACTAAAGGCAGAAAGACCCAAAATCAAAGAACAACTGAAGACAGCTGCAGTTAGAGACTGCAAAGCATCAGAAAGGAGGAAACCCAGTATTTCGTAATGTCCATGGGTTCCAGACTTAAGGCAGTCATTGCCAGTAAAGGATTCTCAAAAAAATATTAAAAATAAATATTTTATTTATGATTATATTCATTTGTCCAATTATATTTGAGCCCCTGTAAATGGAGGGACTGTGTATAAAAATTGTTGCAGTTCCTAAAATTTGTACTTGATATTTATGTTCAACCCCTTGAATTAAAGCTGAAAGTCTGCACTTCAAATTCATTTGGATTGTTTAGTTTTAATTTATTCTGTGGCATACAGAGCCAAAAGTATGAAAATTGTGCCTGTGTCCAAATATATATTGACCTAACTATAGAGGTGCAAGGCAATTGGGCAGCATGAATATTTATACGGTTTCAGCCAATCACTGGGATAGATGGCACAGCTGGTGGCTGGGAAGTTTTATAAATAATCTGAATCGCAAAACAGCATAGTCTTCCTGCCAGGAAATTCCACCAGTTTCTGGTGGGCAAGCCACTGCTCATTGAGGTCCCAGCTTGCTGAAGGGACCTATACCAAAGTCCTTTTTTGGAGTTACTTTGATCTCTGCTCAAGAATCCTGTCAGAGGAGTTGCTGGAAAGAGTAAAGTTGAGTGTTAACCTCTCCCTCACTGGAATATGTTCTGTCGGTATTGGAAGGAGACATTCAGTTACCCAAAGGACAGTGTGAGTACAAATCAAAGCTGGGATTTTCTTTTTGTGACTATACACAATTGGGATTGCTGGGCCACATGCTCTCCTTAGGAGGTACATACCGACCAGTCCACTCTAGTTTGTGAAATACTGTTTGCTAAGCCTTAGCCAAGTAGTTTCTCTTGAGAGATTCATACTGTAAGCCTCTTCAGTGTTATCATGAGAGAACTGCTCTTTAAGCTGGAAGCCAAGTATTTCCTCTCCTGAGGTGTACATACCCTCTGGCATCTACTACTCTCTCACAAGAGGAGTTTGTTCTCAGTTTAGCAGAAGACATCTATTAAGCATGTCCTCCTGTTTGGGATAGCTTGGATAGAGATAGGGAATGGAATGGGAAACTTCAGAATTATGTACAAATATAAAATAGAAGCAAAACCAAAACACCCCTATATTGTTTATTGAGCCAATTGGAGTAACTGTTGCTGTGTACCTGGCTGCCTCTGCACGAATCTTGACAGAATCTTGGAAACCAGCAGGTCCTTTTGGGGGAGGGGGGGATGGCTACATAAGCCTATTCTATCTACCTTGTAAAAGGGAAAGATGCCTATACTTACCTATTCTGAAGTCAGTCCAGTCTTGTCACATGATCAGGTCCCAGCATTGGCTTCAGTGTAGAGGAGGGACAGCCAACAACAGATGCCCCATAGTAAGCCTATGGGTGACGTAATCTCCCAGGCTCTTCAATTCTTGTTGGCAATCTCTCCTCTACACTGAAGCCAGTGCTGGAAATATTATGTGACCATACCAGAGCATCTTCGGAATAGGTAGTGTAGGCATTTTACAGGGTAGATAGAATAGGCGTAAAATGGGGGTGGGAGTAGATTTAGGGTTAGTTAGGCTTGGACTTGCCTTCCACTTTACCGCATTCCCTGCACTAAGGTAACAAATATTCCATTACTAGTATAGCCACCTCACGTCCCTTTTACTGACCTGTATATATTTAAAAAACACACTTTACAACCACTTTAATAAAATACAACTGAGCTGCTGTCCAGCACTTACTTGGGTAAAATGAGCTGGACTCTCTTCGGTGTCATGGTCATCCAACTTTGCAGGGTTTTTGTACTGATGTGTGGGATGATCGCAGAGAGAGGGGTGTTTTCATCAGTAGGCAGTGCCACCAACATACTGACACTTCCACCATGATAAGGCAGCTCTATCACATTGTACCACAGGCCATTAGGAGTACTGGCTGACCCTGTATTTTTTCGTTAAAACCAAAAAAAGAAAAGAATGTTATGGCCTCAGATTAAGAGGTACTGAAATTCATGACACACCAGCAGCATTAATAAATCTTCCAGCAGCAACAATAAAATTTTCCATCATCAATAAACCCTCCTATCAACAACAATGGACACCTTGTGCAGCAACAATAGATCCCTGGCTGCATCAGCTACAATAGATTCATTGACGGACACACACACACATACAGCAAGTCAGTTTGGGCAGGGATAGAAAATAAAGGAATATTGTCTGTAGCAATTATTCACAGTATTTGCAGCAGTGCAGATAGGTAGACGGGACTCATTTGCTTCTTCTTCCACCAAGGCAGCTGCTGTTTAGGAGCTAGATAATTTGGGGGGGGAGGAGGTTAGCACACCTAAGCATCCCCACCATACCTAAGGTACACTGAAATTGTGCCCTTGTCCAAACATCTGATATCCCAGTTCTTGCACACCCAACACATACTGTATGTCCACGCTAAAGCTGCTGTGCCTGTAAGGCTGGTGAACAGTAAGAAACGGACAGCACTGTATACAGACTGAGGTGAGGTGAAATATAAAACATGAATAAAAGTGTATAGAATGAGGGGTGCAGATTACGAAACCTACAGCATGGCAGATCGAATGAGCTGCAGCAGAATAGGAAACAGACAGCATGTGAAAGGACCATACCTTAGCACAACTGCTCTATCCAGGATTCAATAGCTGAAGAGCAGTGCTCTGGCTGAGATGTTCCGCTCCCGGTGCAATTAATCCATGATGAGAAAAAGCCAGCCACTCTGTATACTCTCCAATGCAAAGCTTTATTGGCTATAATTTCGAAAGACACAGTGTGTAAACTTCTAATGCACTTGGCTACAACAGCCTTCACTAATTGCAGCTATTCCATGAGGAAGGTTGTTGTACACTTTGTGTTTTTAGAAATGTAGTCAATAAATATTTCCATTACAGAATATACCGAGCGGTCAGCTTTTTCTTATCATGGATTAGAAACATACAGCATGGCATACCGAAGGAGGTGGTGAGGAATAGGGAATATACAGCACTGCATACAGAAAGAGGCGGTGTGGACTAGGAAGCATACAACATGGCATATGGAATGAGGTGGAGTGAATTAGGGCATGTACAGCTTGGCATTTGGAATGAGGCACTGTGAAATTGGCAACATACAAGCATGGCATATGGACTGTAATATCGGAGATATTTTTGTAAATTAATAATGATTTCTGCCCCATTCAGATCTTCATCAGCACAGACCAATATGGATATTAGTGACACCAAAGCTAACTGTTCCCCCAGTCCCAAGGATAAGGAGAGGTGTTTGTTCCTAGTGTGGACCGGCAGTAAATTCAGTGACAGAAAGGGCAAACAATTGCGGCTGCCACATGTGAACAAAGAGCCAGGGCAGAGGGATACTTACACTACTCACCTCCCCTGCTTGGGCTCTGCATTAGATGATAGAGTTGGGTAAAGGAAAGAAGTAGTGCAACCGTCTCTGTCCCAATTCTTTGTTTAAATGTGACAGCATTAAAATCAGCTGTACTGTCTGTCATTGAGCTGACAAGAGGTCTGAAAGGGACACACACCTCCACTGTTACCGAGTGGCATATATTATATACATACAGGACATGGGCCTGTTGAAGGTGCTGAAATTGAGCACTGTCACATAACAGATGAAAAAAAGCCCTGCACACTTACATATACATACTCAAACCAAGGATTCCTATAGCACTCTAGGTCTTATTAATACAGAGTGCAGCAAAAATAAAACTTAACATGGGCTACTGAGCTTTGCAAACAGACTTTTTGCAACAGGAAGTAAGGAGAGTGTAAATAGTAGATAAGAGCTCCATCTGCTTGCCGTATATGGAAAACATATTTGCATATTTTAGATTTACCTTCTTTAAAAAAAAAAAAATATTTTGTCCTGGCCATAATATGTAAAGAGAAATTGTTTAGAGAACCAAGAAATTCTAGTTTAAAAAAAAAAAAAGAAAAAAAGAAAAAAAAAGCAGCCTCTGCAAATGCTATGAGTATATCTACAGGCCCCATGTTAGACACTCTCTCACTCTCAACTACATCCCTGAAAGTCAAAAGATGAATTGGAGAAAAAAAAAAAAAAAAGAAACCACATACAACACAACATTCCCAGCAGAACACAATTCTTACCAAATAGAATTTCAGCAAAACTGGCTGAACTGCCAAAATGTAACATGCATGTAAACCTAAAAAAAATATTTCACCAGTTTGCTCCCTTTGAGTCCGTTACAGAAATCATTGAAAGCATTATTTGTTGGCATTTTCCTAGCTCTCTCTGGACTACATAACAATTCCCTCCAATGTTATAGGGATGAGGAGAATGGGAGGTGTTCTGTAGTCCTAAAGCACTTCCTGTCCTCCACTGCATTGTGTTTGCAGCACAGCCCACAAACAGAAGAAAAAGGCATCATGGATGTCAGACCTACTCATTTGCGATATGATGAAATCAGGATAAAGTGCAACCACATAGAGAAAGAAATATAAATATCTGCATATATTCTGCATTTTAGCAGTGTAACATACATCTGCATTGTGATGCGATGTAAAGCAGGAACATACCACACTGCCAAGCACTGCAGTAATGCGCACATTGCTTCTTGAAGGAGTTCTTAAAGTAGTTGTGAACAGACTATATTACAGACACTTTCTAATACAGTTATAACTATGCACGCACCATAAATAACTTTGCTTACTTTAAAAAATGAGGTTTCTCCCCTTTTTTACAAAAATAAAAAGGGCTCATTTGACCCTACATCTCTTCTTCCAGATAGTGGAGGGGTGAGGTCACAGGACACTGTGCAGACACACAGTAAGCCTGTATGCCATATTCTGTTCAGCTCAGGCAAGACTCAGGCTCTACTTGAGCATGGGTGTGTACAAGAGGCAGGCTGTGATTAGGAGGTGGTGTGTGCACCAGAGGCAGGCTTTGATTGGTCACAGGGCATTGGGGGGCTGAACAAACTACCAAATACAGGCATGCTGTGCGTTTGCACAGTATCCTGCACTTCTGAATGACCAGACAAAAAGGATGCCAACTGACAACTCAAGCACATACCAGTCTCTGTTCTTTGTATGGTTAGTTTAGAACAAGGAAGAAAGGTGACTGCCAGGTTCAACCATGTACTTCTTATGGAAGAAGAAGTATATCAAAATAACGACCATGAATTTTAAAATACATATACATAAACATACATATAGAAAAAACAACAGTAACATTTGAGAACAAAGTCTGCACCAAATTTAACCCCTTCTCGCCGACGTCACACAGATATGTGGCCTCACGGAACTGGGCTTTTTTCCGTGGAGCCGCATATTTGCGTACCTGTCTTTGTGCTGGGAGCACGCCGCTTGGCGCGCTCCCAGCACTGAGAGCACCGGGTCCCGTTCTAACGATCGGGACCCGGGACTCCCAGTCCCGGGTCACATGAGCGCTGTGATTAGTCACTGTGCAGCCAGGGACCCTTTGTTTTTCTCTCTCTCTCTATGAATGGAGAAGAGAGATATATTGTATCTAACTCCTGGCATAGAGAGAAAAAAAAGTTTTGTGTTTTTTTTAAAAAAAAAGATAAATAAATATTAAAAAAGAAAAGAAAAAAAAGAAAAATACCTAAATCAAGGTTTGATCTAGTTCAGTGCCAGGGTTAGTGTTTAGGTCAAGGTCAGGGTCAAAGATCAGGATTTAAAAAAAAAGTTTGTGTCAGTTAGTGTTAATGTCAGTGTGTTTTAGGTAAAAAAAAAAAAAAAAAGACAAAAAACAAAATGCGCACTATTGTTTCTGGGCTGTACTACGGGTACAAACAACAAATAACAAACATATATGGTATCGCTGTGATCATCAAGAGCTGGAGAATTTATTTTGGGTTGTTCTTTGGTGGTAGGTTATGGTCGTAACAAGAAACACACAGCTAAATTAAAAAAAAAATATTTTTTTTTACTATTTTGGGCCAGTTTTTCTATGATAATAATAAAAAAAAAAAAAAAAATCAGGAGATATCGATTACCATTTACCACCAAATGAAAGCCCAATTTGTCTTGAAAAAATCAATGTATAATCCACCTGGATGTACAAAGTATTTGTGGTGATATGTATGGTTTTGCTATCACATGTCAACGTTGCAGAATTGTGCTTAGGCATTTAGATTTGTTTTACCCTTAGGCGTGAAGGGGTTAAACAAAAATACTTACCACTCCTGAATAGGGAAAGCTGGGCCAGCATTGGTACTTGAGAAGATTTGCCATCTGGTCCATGGAAAGTTCGTTTTTTTTGTGTTTTCAGGTTGGAAACGAGATTTCCAAAGTCCCTTGAAATACAGTGCATTGACTACTACTAGCCTCGTCAGGGAGCTATCCAATAAATCAGAGGACAACAGGTTGTCGATCATGCCTACAAGACATAAAAGTCACATGATTCTTAAAGGATTAACAAATGGAATGCAAATAAGGTGGCACTATCTATACTATGTAGATATTACAAAGTGTCAAAAAAAAATATTATTTAATCTTACCACTAGCTATGCCTGCATGGTCTATTCTGGTATGCTTCTGAATCTATGGGTTTTCTCGAAATACAAAAGACTCTAGAGACATGCCGCCATAGAAGTTTAAAAGGGATTGGCTGTACAGAAGCAGCCAGCTGTAAGAACATTTCAGCAGCAGACTGAAAATTGCTGCAGGCTTTGACCAACAGATCTGATTCAGATATGGCTTTGTGGTGGGGGAGAGGGAAGATGGGCTAGGCAAAGACTTAGCACGACATAAAACTTATTATCCTTTATCCCTTAAAGTTCACAGTTCAAGAAAAAAATAAATGCAGATATTTTTGCCGGGAAAAAATATGGGCATTTATGTTTTCCTGAAGGAACCTGGAAAGCATTACACGTGTGATCAATGGATCGGGATGCAATAGTCAGGCTTCTGCAGACAACTCCTGCAGCTTTCTGCCTGTACCTTCTTAAGGGCTGTCTGCTGAAAGCTAAAGCCAACAAAATATTCAGGTCTTGACTATATATATATATATATATATATATATCTACATATACACACACACCCACACCATTTGCATTCTACTGTATATAGAAGAACATGAAATACCAGGTTACCAATGAGCTCCACTAGCAAAACATTTGAGATACTCACCCTTTGTTTCATTCTTTACCCACTGGTTGATCATAGCAGCAGCTGTGTTCCTGTCCTGGAAGTCAACATTTCTCACATGACTCTGAAAAATCTCTCTATTCTTGCTGACAAAGGGACCCTCCATCTTGAATCCACTGTTGGCAAACACAGCATTGGCTGTGGTAACAATGTCCTTATTCTTCTTTGCTACTATCGCCTTGTTGATTCGCTTTAATATTTTACCAACCACTGCACAGGACAAAAAACACATACATAATCATTAACATAAGAAGGAATGCTTGCAAAAATATCCAACATCATTTTAAAATTATCTCTTATGAAATAATGTTAGAGTCTTGCATTTCATAAATATATGCTTTTGGCTCAACACATAATTATTTCAGTTTGGACAGAGTAAGGAAGGGTTAGAGTCCTCTGCCAAATAACAGTCCGTTAGCCCCGATGAAGGGTGCGCAGATCCCCAAAGGGAACCTTTTTTAAACACGCCTGTCTTTTGGATGTATGCACTTTCCCTTCCCGACTTACTGGGGCGCTTGCATTTCTTTTGTTTTCATCTCATATACAGAATTTACATATAAGTGCAGCCTACTTTTTCTACTTGCCAGCACCCATAAGCACCTAATTTCCCCTAGAAAATCTCCCCAAGTGGGGATGCAGACAAAACTAAAAAACACATTTTCAATAGTGAGGATGGGCTAAAAATTAACATTTTTATTTCGGTTTCTTACTACCCATCTCAGTTATGACCATACCCCTCATTACCTGAATGACTATCACTAAAAAAAAAAAATTAAAAAGCTAAGAAGAGAAAAAGTTTCATGTACGGTGAGCTGAGCAAATAGAAACACCTGGGACAGGATAACACTGTAGATAAAAGTCATCATAGGTTTGTATCAGAGCACATGTATAAACTGCCTTTTGTAGCAGACATGTTTAGCAATGTTAGTGTCTATATTTTTGCTCATATGTGTGTCATTTATGGTCGACAGGCAAGACACATCTGTGTGGATCTAGATGAAGAATGCATGGAGATAGCAGTTTTTTAAAGCCCAGCTCCAGCCAAAATGTATTTTTCTGTTTAGGATCGAATACAAAAAGGGATAAAAGTACAAAATATTAAGATGTGCTGTTCAAACTTTGGCTTTTATATTGATGTGACACAGATATGGTTGAAAGGCCATACAACCACCCTTTTGTTGGTAGACGTCTTATGTACTGATCATTTGATCTACACAATTAGACACCCCTATACACAAGACCATGAAGGGCACAAAGAACCAAGTGCAAAATCTTTCTAATCCAAACAATACAGATTCCAAAGAAGTAAAAAAAAAAACAAAAACAACATACCATTCACTTTATAGCGCATTGCTGTTGTCAACTGTTTTTTTGTCTTTCCATCAGCGCCCAGCTGAAGCATTCCCAATACAGAAGCAATTCCATGAGGGGATATGACCACATTGTCATGAGGTTTAGTCTTCACCACTTGATTGAACACCTGAATTCCAATGTCCGATCCAAGTTCCTCAAGGGATATTGGACTAATCTGTGACTGCGCTGAAGTCAAATATACCACCGCAAATAAAGCCAAGAGGAGCCTCGTCATGGTCTTTCAACTTGAACTAAAACACCTGCAAGGGCAAAAGGAATACTCCGTTATAACAAAATTTCTTACAGCATGTAACTTTATCCAATTTACCCATAGGATAAAAAAAAAATACAATGGTATCTTTTAAATCGATCACTATAAAAACAAACAAAAAAAAAAAAAAGAGACCAACAATAGCAGAATTGTAGCTTAGAGGACATTATCCTCACGGACTTTCTACATTCTACTTGCGTTTGCCCCAATTTCATTCCACAAGCCAGAAACATACTATTCAGTTACTTGATTTCAAGCCAAACTGGCCATGAAGCATGTGTGGTTGTGGGATTGTTGTAGAAATATTGCAAGCATGTTTAAGGAACATATTTCTAACGTACTATATAGCATGGTATGGGCAAATTCTACTTTTAAGGTATTGAAAAAAAAAATAATTTAAGCTCAGCAAACTCACAAAAAGTAGTAGTATAGACCTTTTATTATTGCTATAGTGTAAACTTTTCTTTCTTTTAACAAAGAGCCAGTACTTGGAGAGAAATCAAATGCTTCTTGTTTTCTAAAGAGAAATCAGAAGTTCTAAATGATGACGTTTGCCAAACACCCTGTATAGTAATTCAGATATACTGCATTGGGAATGATGCCAGTACAGGAAGCAGAAGGGGGGAGAAGCCTAGGGGGTTTCTAATCAGCTGAGAGTGAAAGGGGAGCCAAAATCCAGGAAGTTAGTTGGATGTTGTAATCCTAATTGCTTACAGCCAGTACACAAGGGAGGTCTAAAACCTGCAGTTTATCTGGAATATAGTTGTTATTTTAAATACAGTTTAGGTCAATATCAGATAGACATTTGTGCACGTCAAAGGTTCCTGTAAGTGAAACTCCAGCTTTTGTTCCCCATTTTTTTTTTTTTTTAAGGAACCATCAGGTACAGTATTGCAATGATTTTTACTAGCTTTAGTTCAAAAACTTTTTCCTGCATCTTTGTTTCATGCATTAAATTTAATATCCCCACCCAATTCTATGATGCAGAGATTCGAAAACTGTTACTACAGACCTAGGCTTCATGCACACTGGCTTAAAAAAAAAAAACAAAACAAAACAAAAAAAAAAAAAAAAATGCTGCTCCTTGAGTTTAGCGTTTTGCCTGTAGGAGCAACTAATGTTATGCTATGTGTCCATGCACATTAGGTAGTCTAGAGGCATTTTTAGGGGCAGTGTTCAGAGGCAGAAAAACACCCTTCTGTTTTGTCTTTTTGAGAGCATTTTTCTGGCAGAGAAAATGAAACGCTAAAAACGCTAGTACAAAAATTGCTTAAAAATTAGCGTTTTTTTTCTGCCAAGAGCAATAGTATTTTTTTTTTTAAAGTGTTACTAAACCCAAAACAGTAAAGTCAGTCTGTATATGGAGTAAAGCATGCTTGTTATACTCACGGTGGAACCCAAAATTGTTAATCCTCTGCATTATGTTAAGGACATTTGAGCCCGTCTTTTCTGATCCTCCCTTTCTTCCAGTGTCTCCCTCTTATCTCCTGATAAGACATATTGTGTGGAGACACTGCATATGCTCAGTTTGGTGTGTATTGCTGGAGAGGTTTTTTTGTTTGTTTTTTTCTTGGGGGAGTGCATGTGATCAGCACAGGGCCAAACAGCACTACCCAGACAAAAGTCAGGGGTTCTACATCCTCCTAGAGAAAACTCCTACAAGCTTTAACCAGTGCTCTGCTGAACACAGATAGAAGTCACATGACTGCTCTAACTTCTGATGAGAAAAGGTATTTAGCAGTTTATATTTACTAAAATAATTGCACTTCCATGTTGTGTGTACTGTGGGAGACCAGATACAGTGAATGCAGGGTCCTGGGTTTAGTAACACTTTAAGCTAGTGTGCATGGAGCCTAAAAGGGTTCGTTCACCTTTACTGAAAAGCCTGAAGGAACAGGACACCATTCTTCCCTGTGGCATTTGGGATGGCTGTAATGGCTGTTCTCTCCCTACAACTTGGGATGGATCCATTACAAGCTCTGAAACATTTTAGGAAAGCTTCTTTTTAATGTGGTTTTGGCCTACATTTTTAAACTGAAAGGGAGCCCACGCTACCATACCCATATGGGACAACAGTGTGTAAAAAAAAAAAAAAAAGAGAAAGAGAAAAAAGTACAATGCAAGACCAATAGCATTGCTACTGTGCATGAGGATGCCGGGTGACCTCCCTCAACCCGGAGTGGCAGAGAGAAGAGTGCACTTCAACTTACTTTTCACAGTAAATGGCAGCAAATTCATGCCTAAAAACAAATCCTAAGTAAGGCTCATCAGGCATGAGAGGACCAGAGATTATTACTGCTTCTTACATGCAATCTGCACAGACCCAACGGTGGGATCACCTACAAGCATGGTAGCCACTTGTCCTTCTGCAGCATCATAGGCTGAAGCTAGAGTGCAGGCTACAGGCTTGAACAATCCCAGCAAGGTACAGTACGTGCAGAGTCCATTAGGAACTTTCTCCATATTCCTCAATCCCTTCACCCCACATGCCTTGCCTGGATTTCATAGCCAAATCACAGGTCTCCCGCTACTCTATCAGTGCCTCAATGCTGGCAGGCAGGGGCCCCTTCATTCCTCCAACCCTCTTCCCCAATCAAGGAGGATCTGGAGGCACAGATGCCTGGGGCTTTTAAGAGGGAACTGAAAAAAGTACAATAAAAAGTCGACTAAGTCGACCACATTACAGACCTCCATTGAGACTAGGTTGAGGTTGAGACAAGCTACAGGCATTGAAACAGCACAAGCAAACCAGTTACATAGAATACATTTCCTTTCAGCTAAAAATGATGGGAAAAAAAAAGAAACAGAACAAAATATTAGATTGAAAGGTAACCCAGAGGCCACTTGCAGCCCTGAATTAAAGGCTACAGTTATTGAAATACTGAACACCTTTCCAGGCAGGGACCCTGGCACCGACTTAGAACTGAACATAGCGTCTAGAGTGACAGGCCCAAAAATCCAAGCACACACTGAACCCAGAGATAAGGTTTGCTTTTCTGCACAAGAGTGGAACCTCATTTGTAAAGTGTAGCAGAAAAAAAAAAAAAAATCAAGCATTTTTAGCTGATCTCACCCACACAACTACCAGCACTGTTCTGTTTTGTGGACATTGATGACAATGATGGCCCTAATTGGCTGAATCCTCCAGAAGACCCTCTGCTCATCCCATGTCACACCCTCTTTAAAAGAGGGTTAGCAGATCCAGACACTCCTCATGGGACCTCTGGGATGCTCAATTGGAATGCAGCAATACTTAACCTGAGACCACCCAACAGTATATATTGTACCTAAGAATATGCAGATCCTGCCATCGGATTTGATGGGACCAATGATGATTTCTCTAGACTAGCCCCAATGGAGACATGGTCTACACTTCCTCTTATACCTCTACCCAGTTAATTCCCCCCACCCTCCCTCCTTTCCCTAAGCCACTCCCTAAATTGCAATAGACTAAAATGGTGGACCACAATCTTATAGCTTATCAGACCAAATTAAAGGCAGGCACAAGCATTAAGGTAATCTCATGGAACGTGAAAAAAAGAGTTAAGAGATTTCCCTGAAAAGTGATTAGGGGGTACTGGGATAACCCAAATTGCTTTCAAAATGTGAATAACCTCCAGACTCATGAAATCGCAAAGCTGTTTGCCCCATGCCAAGGCCAAAGGCATCAGTGCTGTAGTGTCTGAAATCACCAACTGGACACTCCCAACACAGCTTGGAGACCCAGAAGGCAATTTCCTTTTCTTAAAGGGCACCCTCAATGGCTCCTTAGTCACTCTGGCAAAAATGTGAATTTGTCCAAATCTCAAATAGATATCTTAGGACCTTGCACAGCCATCCTTTCAGAGTTTGTGGAAGGTGGCCTATTCATAAGAGAATATTTCAGCCCTAGACCCCCTCATAAACCAATCTAGAAGTAACACACACTGCTCATGCTCCTTCTTGCAAAACATTGAAATGCTTCAGGCTGAAAGACAGGCGGGCATGCAGTGTATATAAAAAGTCCACACACCCCTGTTAAAATGTCAGGTTCCTGTGATGTAAAAAAAATGAGACAAAGATAAATCATTTCAGAACTTTTTCCTCCTTATGTAACCTTTAAAACTGTACAACGCAGTTGAACAACAAACTGAAATCTTTTAGGTGGAGGTAAGTAAACAAACTAAAATAATATGGTTGCATAAGTGTGCACACCCTTAAACTAATACTTTGTTGAAGCACCTTTTGATTTTATTCCAGCACTCAGTCTTTTTGGGTATGGTTCTATCAGCATGGCTCATCTTGACTTGGCAATATTTGCCCATTCTTCCTTGCAAAAACACTCAGAATCTGTCAGATTGCGAGGGCCTCTCCTGTGCACAGCAGTCTTCAGATCACCCCACATATCTTTCATCGGATTCAGGTCTGGGCTCTGGCTGGGCCATTCCAAAACTTTAATCTTCTTCTGGTGAAACCATTCCTTTGTTGATTTGGATATATGCTTTGGGTTGTTGTCATGCTGAAAGATGAAGTTCCTCTTCATGTTCAGCTTTCTAGCAGAAGAGTGAAGGTTTTGTGCCAATATTGACTGGTATTTGGAAAACTGTTCATAATTCCCTCTACCTTGACTAAGGCCCCAGTTCCAGCTGAAGAAACAACAGCTCCAAAGCATGATGCTGCCACCACCATGTTTCACTGTCGGTATGGTGTTCTTTTGGTGATGTGCAGTGTTGTTTTTGCGCCAAACATATCTTATGGAATTATGGCCAAAAAGTTCAACCTTGGTTTCATCAGACCAGAACACATTTTCCCACATGCTTTTGGGAGACTTCAGATGTGTTTTTGCAAAATTTAGCCAGGCTTGGATGTTTTTTTTCATAAGAAAAGGCTTCAGTCTTGCCACTCTACCCCATAGCCCAGATATATGAAGAATACAGGAAATTGCTGTCACATGTACCACACAGCCAGTACTTGCCAGATATTCC